GAAGCTTCATCAAGCTTGACTTCTAGGAACAAACATTCTGGTTGCACTTTCTCCAATACATTTCTGTTTGTTCTTTTGGCAGCACATGGACTGTTCATAACTCTTCTCCAACACTGCAACTTGAATATATAGACTCTTTCTCTGTCATCCTTATTCATTGTCCAGCTCTCAGATGCTTAACAAGTGATTGGAAAGACTGTAGCATGAATCAGGCACATCTTGGTCTTTAGGCTGACATAACTGCTCTTCAGAACTTTGAAGAGATCTTTGGAAGTAGAGTTATAGTTATCCAGATCTCCTGACTGCTGATACCAAGGATATTGACTGTGAATCCAAACAAGTTGAAATCGTTGACTTGACAAATTCAATCTTTTTTCCATCTACTATGTGCACACCAGTTCTACAGGATGCATTGCCTTTGCTCGGGAAACATTATGACTAAACTTCAGAGACATTGGTCCCAACATAAGGAACTACGAACAGCTGATGTGTTTGGAATCATAGAAGCCAAGGAAGCTTCATATATAAGCTATTAGATCAAGGGCTGGTCAATGGGAGATAGATGTGAACGGAGTGGGTAGAAGTGAATGGGTATCCTGGTGGATGGTGGAGCAGGGAAATAAGTGGGTAAAGACACATGTGCCAAAGGCAGGGACAACACTGACAGTAATGGTTAACTCCACAATAAGGGATATACCTTTAACTTGCTGGTCTGTCTGATACTTCTCTAAATCTGAACATTCACATTAAGACAGACTAGGAAGATGGATCCACTTCTGAAATAGCAGGCCTCTGAAAACCCTATGTACAACAGAATACATGTAGATAACAGAGAGGGCAACTGAGGTTGAACTTTCAAGTATGGAAGGAGGTATCTACTATGTCGATTGGAAAAACACTCATTAACAACCTACAATATGCAGATGACACAGCCTTGCTTGCTGAAACTGAAGAAGACCTGAAGCACTTGATGCAAAAGGTCAACGACTGTAGTCTTCAATATGGATTGAAACGCAACATCAAGATGACAAAGATTCTTACCGGTGAGCCAATTGACAGCACCATAATAGATGGAAAAGAGACTGAGTTTGTTAGCAATTACAGCTTTCTCAGATCTCTAATAAACATTCTTAACACCAGCAGTCAGGAAATCAAAAGATGAATGGCATTGGGAAAATCTGCTGTCATGGACCTCTCCAGGGTGCTGAAGAGCTATGATATCAGTCTAGATACAAAGGTGCACCTAATCCAGGCCTTGGACTTCTCAATAACTTGCTATGCTTCAGAAAGTTGGACAATGACTAAGGATGACAGAAGAAGAATAGATGCCTTCAAGTTGTGGTGCTGGAGAAGTGTCTTGAACATACTGTGGAGTGCTAAGAAAACAAATAGGTCTGTCTTGGAGAGAGTGAAACCAAGTTTCTCCTTGGAGGCTAGGATTTTGAAGCTCTGCCTCACTTTCTTTGGGCACATGGCCAGGAGGGTGGATAGACCTCGCAGGAGAGGGAGACCCCAGATGAGATGGATTGGTACAGTAATGGGAGATGGAGATTGGTGTGTGGGAATTAGTGAGACTGGCTCAGGACCGGGAAGGGTTCAGAGTTGTTGTACATAGGGTCGCTAAACGTCGCAGGCGACTCAATGGCAAACGAAAACAATAACATACTATGACAGGATTAGAAGCAGGAGTGGCATCCACTTTCTAAATAACATGCCTCCGGAAACTCGACGAACTTTGATAAACGTCGATAGTTGTAGAGGAGCTTCAGGTCTTTTGTTCAGAGGGGTGCTATGAGTTGTGCTCGACTGGAAGACAGTTAGAACCAACACTGAATGACCTGCCAATAGAATAAACAAATCAGTCTTGAAAGACATGCAATCAGAATGCTCCTAAGAGGCAATGATAGTGAAATTCCATCTCACACACTTTGAGCATTTTTAATGGGTAAACACACTTTGGAAAGGGATATCTAAATACGAATCAGGTCCTGCATGAGCACAATGAAGTGTTCTGAGATCCCCATTTTCTGACATTTTATTGACAATTTACTATGATCCAATGACATATCAGAAAATGGGAATCTCAGAACACTTCATTGTGCAGTTGAAGATGGCACAACCCTGCTTGCTGAAACTGAGGAAGACCTGAAATGCTTGCTGAAGAGGGTCAGGGACAGCAGCTTTCAGTATGGACTGAGGCTCAATGTCAAGAAGACAAAGATTCTCACCACTGGACCAATTGGCAGCATCAGGATAGATGGTGAAGAGATTGAGATTGTTAACAACTGTAGTCTGCTTGGCTCCACAGTCAACACTCTTGGCACCAGTAGTCAGGAAATTAAAAAAACAAAACAAAACAAAAACGTATTGCAATGGGAAAGTCTGCTGTTAGGGGACCTCTCCAAAGTACTGAAGAGCAATGGTTTCACTCTGGAGACTAAGGTGTGTCTGATACAGGCCATGGTATTTGCAATCACTTGTTATGCATCAGAGAGTTGGACAACGACTAAGAAAGATAGAAGGAGAATTGATGGCTTTGAGCTGTGGTGCTGGAGAAGAGTATTGAATGTACCATGGACTGCTAACAAAACAAACAGATTTATCCTGGAGAGGGTTAAACCAGGCTGATCATTGGAGGAAAGGATTCTGGGGCTTTGTCTGGCATACTTTGGACATGTTGTAAGGAGGGACAGGTCCTTGGAGAGGGACATCATGCTTGGGAGGGTGGAGGGATGGCACAAGAAGGGAAGACTCTCTATGAGGACGGTTGATTCAGTGACTGGGGTAATCAAGATGGGTGTGTCAGAGGCAGTGCGATTGGCACAGGGTAGAGCAGGGTTTAGGGCTGTTGTACATAGGGTCGCTATGAGTTGCAAGTGACTCAACAACACATAACAATAAACAATAACCACACATTCAAACACTTTACATAGCCAATAAAATAGGTAAACATCTTGCTGGTATTCACAGTTTTAAGTCAAGATCCATCTGATATCTTTTGTTCCTCCTACTCTTCTGAATCCAGCTTGAATTTCCCTGTCAACATACTGCTGTGACTGCTTTTTTATGTATCTTCATCAAAGTTTTACTTGTTGTTATTGTTATGTGTCGTTGAGTTGCCTGCAACACCTAGCAACCCGATTCACAATAGATTTTAACTCTGACTTATCCTGAGCCAATTTCATTGTCTCTGACACACCTAACAATCACTTTGTCAATTCATCTCATTTAAGGTCTTCCTCTCTTCTGCTGTCCTTCCACCATTCCAAACGTGATGTCCCTCTCCAAGGACTGGTTCCTCCTGGCAACATGCCCAATGTATGTGAGACAGAGCTTCAAAAACTTTGCCTCCAGAGAACAACTTCTCTTGGTAGTCTATATAGTATGTTTAATGCTCTTCTCCAGCACCACAACACAATGACATCAATTCTTCTCTGTTATCTTTATTTATTATCCAGCTCTATGATGCATAGCAAGTAATTGTGAAGACCATGGCCTGGACCAGGCACAGCTTAGTCTCTAGACTGACATCTTTGCACTTCAACAATCTGGAGAGGTCACTGACAGCAGACTTTCCCAATGCAGTAATCTTTGGATTTCCTGGCTGCAGGTTCCAAGAATGCTGATTGTAGACCCGAGCAAGATAAAATTGTTGACAATATCAGTCTCTTCTCCATCTATCATGGTGCTGTCGGTTGACCCAGAGATAGAATCTTTGTTTTCTTGATGTTGAACTTCAGTCCATATTGAAGACTGCAGCCCTTGACTTTATGCAGAAGATGCCTGCATGTGATATTTATGAGAAATCTGTTCCATGGATTAAATTTTCACTCAAAGCAACTCTGTAGAATAGACCTACCTCTTGTAATCTTCAATGACGAGAACTCGAGTGGTGTCCTCTATGGGTCATACAGCTATCCCAAAAGAAGCACCTCTGTGTCAATTCAAATCTATAAGTGAACCCTCAGGAGAAAGACGGACAATCTATAACCGACGAAACGCACTGGAGACAATCATGACTTGACAGTCGTGAGAAAGAATCTTTCCCGAAGTTAACTGCCACATCTTTCTTTCCTGCAATAGGATGTGGATTTTAATTGCTAATCTGGAAGCAGTTCAGTGTTCTGCTGAGTAGAGTAACGACTGTCAGTCCTGAGGTTTCCTTGGACGTTTATTTACGCGTTCTGTTGGATTACCTTTCTTTGGAACAGACATGTATATAGTGGACCCTTTTTGATCAGAACAACAAACAAATCTGTCTTGGAAGAAGTGCGGCCAGAGTGCTTCTGAGAAGTGAGGATGAAGGAACTTTGTTTCCCCTACTTTGGACATGTGATTAGGAGGGAACAGTGGCTGGAGGAGGTTATCCTGCCTGGTAGAGTTAGTGAAATACAAGACCTTCAAGGAGATGGGTTTAAACTCAACAACCATAAGGATGAGGGAGCTCTGGTGGCCTAGTAGAAGCTGTGCTTCATCCCCGAAGACACGGGGTTCGAATGCCCTCCTGTGGGATTTAACTGCCTCTGAAAACCCGCAGGAGGGTCAGTTGAGACTTGAGGATACGCAAGAAGTATGCAACCAACGAGGATGGTCCAGGCCAGGCACGGTCCGGGGTCTCGGGGCCCGGGGTCTCGGGGTTCGGGGTCACGGGGTCAGGAAGAATGCACAGACATCTAATAAAAGCAGTGCATTCACGTGTCTGTCGCCCCGCGTTTTTGCTGCTATCTCTTTAGTTAGACCACTCTCCCGGATGGTGTAGACTAGAACCTTCTGTGAAAGAAGACCTTAGACGTCTTTTGTGCTTTCAGCAAGGACAAGGTACACAACCACCACGCCAGGAGGCGCTGGCGTCCGGAGCAACGAGGGGAGCGGGGCAGAGCGGCCCGTGGGCGGGCCCCGCGTCAGGAGGCCGGACGCGCGCCAGTTTCCGGTGGAGCGGAGGGCGGGGAAGAGCCGTCGCCATCTCGCCGTGAGACAGCAGCAGTGAAAGTGGGGTGATGTCCTCGGCCACTGTCTTCCCGTTACCTCGCCGCGACCTGGAGATGCAGCCGTTCTGCGCCGCGGGGCCGGTGCAGCAGCGCTTTTCGCCCTACACCTTCAACGGAGGGTAAAGCCTGGGACCCGCGCTGCCGCCCCCTCCGGCCTCCTCCCCGCCGCGGCCAGGCCCGGGGTGGGCGCGCTGACCGGTTCCCGCGGGCCCCCTCTCCGCGCTCGTGGTTTCGCACACGCTCGCCTCTTCTGCCCACTGCCCGTTTCCTGTTGGCGTGCGCCTCCCGGCCCAGCCTGTCTTCTCAGGG